TGGTTCCCAAAGGGTGGGGGGAGAGAGGAGAATGAAAGGGGGGAGAGGGCTCCCTTCCTTTAAATGTCCCAAGTCACTTCAGCTGGGGGAGACGGTCTCTGCAATCATGGGGCAGCAAAGCGGCTGCCTCTTCTCTGTGTTTGCACCTTTGTGATAGGAAGGAGCAATCAGTGATGAGAGCACAGATTTCCAGTGTTTGGAGGACAGACAGGGTCTTTTTCGCCCACCCTGGCTCCTGCAAGATGTGTGCTAGTTGCTGCAGAAACCTGCAGGTGGCTGGGTGTGGGGGGATGGGCTAAGAGCTGAAATTGGTTGAAATGAACCTCAGTTGACTGGCCAAGTCCTTCCCTGGAAGTTGGAATCCTTCAGTAGATTCCAGGTTTCCAAAACACTGACATTAGATGGATTCTGCCAATGCCGCTGTTTTTCAGGTGGGGAGATAGATTCCTGGTGCTTCCTGCTCCACCAGCTTCCCAGACTCCTCCAAGCCATGTTAGGTTTTGTCCTTGTCTGTTTGCCTTGCTCTCCACCACACTCTCCGGGAGGGGAGGGAGCATGTCGCTATCTTATCGCTGCTTCCCAGGGTCCATCTGAAGTGTTTGGCACTTGTGGTGAAGGCTCAGTTAACTGGCCTTACAATTCCAGTTTGTTCTCATTCTCTTACAGTGCCATAGGGGCTGGTCGCAGGGACAGGGCTGGGCTGGGCTGGGCTGGGCTGCTCAGGAACGAGAGAGAAGGGGGTACTGTACTGGGTTGGACAGTGTCCCCCTCACCCCCAATTTGTTTCCATCTGGAACCTGTGAATGGGACCTTTTTTGGAAATTGGGTCTTTGCAAGATGAAATGAATTAAAATGATGTCATGCTAGATTAGGGTGGATTGATGATTGGTGTCCTTAGCAGAAGGCCATGTGAAGATGGAAGCAGAGATTGGAGTGGTACATCTATAAGCCCAGGATTACTGGCAGCCACCAGGAGCTGGAGGAGGCAAGGAAGGATTCCTTTTTTGCCCTGGAAGAAGCATGGCCCTACTGATGCCTGGATTTGGGACTTCCGGCTTCTGGAATTGTGAGAGAGTGAACCTCTGCTGTGGACTGGTTAGGGCAGCTGAGCACACTAACAGAGGGATGAGGACCGGGAGGCCGTGGATCCACAAGACTACAGAATTCTTCACGCCTTGTATTCCCAGCTCTGAAGGAGAGTATGGTAGTGCCCCCAGCAAGCCTCCATGTGAGCTAGGTTCTTTCTAAAGTGATGTTTGAAAGCTGGTTTTTAAGACAAAAATAAGGCTGGTGAGTCCTTTAATTGGCCACGTGTCTGTGGCTTTTCCGTGTCTGTATTGTGAGCAGCCTGAGAACAGAGCCCAGGTCCTGACCCTTGTACTGTCCTCACTCCCAGACAGTTAACTGGGCATCTACATGGGGCTGGGCCCCGTGCCCAGGGCTGGAGTGTGGAGACAGAGCATTCCCTCGGGAAGCTCCATGAGCACCCCCCCGGCAAGCCCGGGGACATGCTGCCCCCGCCCCCCCCATTTGTAGGGATGCTTATTTCTCCTGCTGTCTCCAACTGACCAGTGAGGAAGGATGCTTAGAACTCAGGTCTTGCCCAAAGCTCCTCCCCAAGAGGACGTGTGGAAGCTAGAGGAGATGCTGTGGTAGCCTCTTCACCCAGTCACTCCAGTGGCTACCGACCCCAAGAGCCTCAGTCTGCCCAACTGTAGAATGGGAGAGATGGTAGAAGCTGTCTCGTAGGATGTGTGGAAACTACGTGGCTGGTACGGAGGGAGGGTGTAGCAGGCAAGAGCTGCTCCTGCCGTCACTGTGGTTATTTGCTAAATTTATGAGTTCCCTGGAGAGCAGCCTTTCTGGGTATTGTTTATCGGACTCCCGTCTGTATTTGTATTACATATATTTGCATATGTGTCGATATCTGTTTCACACAGAGACATATTTACCCTGAACAAACTTCAGTATTAGATATTGACAAGGTATTAATTTCTCCATTGTGCTAATTTGAGTAACTTTGAAATTTTAATGGAAACTGCACTCTCAGGGGGCAGACCTCTTTATGTACCATCTGTTCACTCCATACCCGTGTTTGAGCCACCGCTGAGGGTAACAAGAGTCTAAGATCAGTGAGCACGGCAAAGAAAGGTTACTGCCCTCAGGCACCTCCTTCCACCAGCGGCAACAAACCAAGACCAAAGCTGTAATGTAGGCAGAGGGAAACCGAGGCCAGGCCAGAGGCTGGACACACCAGAGGGCGAGGCTCCTGCAGTCCTGTCCAGACATGAGAACATGGGATAGGGCCCCTGCTCTGTGTTTAAAGAAAACAAATTCAAGGCTAATTAAGAGGCCTAGTTTCGTGTTTCTAGGCTCAAGGCCACAGGAATGGTCAGCGGTGGGAACCTGAGCTTAGCCTAGGATTTGGCCTTATTTTTCCTGTTTATAGAATTTTATGTTAAGGAGGCCATCTGGTTGGTTCTCAGCTGCATAAATGCCCCATTGTGCTGTGTCTGGTTATGGCCACATCCAGGCCAGGTGACTTGGCACCCGCTGGCAGCCCGCGGCTGTGCGGACCCGCGGCTGTGTGGACCTGCGGCTGTGTGGACCCGCGGCTGTGTGGACGCGGCCCCCAGGCCCTGTTCTTCCAAGTCCTGCGGGTCCCGCCTGGTGCTGAAGGGCCATCTGCTGGGAGGAGGTACCGATGCCGAGGGGCCAGCTTGCAGGGAGGGGCCTCCTCTTCCTTCAGTCCAGAAACGCCTGGACTCTACTCGGGTGAGGTCAGGGAGTGGCCCTAAAGTAGAAAAGTGAAAGGAATGGCCTCAGTGGGCTGCGCAGGAGAGCTGCCCCTGAATCTCAGACATCCGCGAAGGGATGAGGGAAGGCGGCTGCCAGACGCATCGGGCAGCTGTCCCTGTTTCGGGCTCCTTGCCAAGTGTGGTTTCTGTCTTACACTCCGTCACACTGCCCCCATCCTGTCACTCCTGCACTTGATTTTGGACATGTCCCACTGGTCTCTCTTTTCAGGCCTGTCTTGGGACATGGGTCTGGAACAGCCTCTTCCTCTAGGCCTTTGCTAAGAGAGCCAGACTGACCATCCTCACGAGGGCTTTTCTTCTTTCTGGTCTTGTTCTTGCGTGAAGTTGAAGGAAGTGAGAAAGGGAAGGCTCTTAAAAACTCGAGAGGGCGAGACTTCCAGAATGTGTTCTGGGTTACCTGGTTAGAGTGATGGAGGTCACCGGAGGTGCATGGGGTGTTTGGGTGCAGGAGCCTTTGCCTCATGGGTTCGGGTGTGGGTCCAGGAACCAGGGCAGGCCCCTGAGTTCCACCAATTATTTCTTTAAGATTTTATTTACTTACTTGTCAGAGAGAGAGAGAGAGAGAGCGCGCGCGAGCACACGAGCAAGGGGAGCGGTGGGCAGAGGGAGAAGCAGCCTCCCCGCGGAGCTGGGAGCCTGATGCGGGACTTGATCCCAGGACCCTGGGATGATGACCTGAGCTGAAGGCAGACGCTTAACCAACTGAGCCCCCCGGGCGCCCCCACCAGTCTTGAAAACGGTCCAGTCGTGTGACTTCGGGGCATGTCTCCCATGGGCCGTGTCCGTCAGTTGGAGGTGTTCTCTGCAAATCTGGAATCTACTGTGGGGCTCCAGGCTGCAGTCAGAAGGAATGAGGCAGGTCTGTGCTGCTGTATGAGCGAGGTGAAGAGCACGCTGTTGTAGGCGCCATCCGTGCACGAAGACTGCTGCTGTGGATGCTCATACACACTCTGGAAAGATATGTGCCCAAATGGTGCAGAGGAAATGCCTCTGGAAAGTGGAGCTTGAGGTGGAGGGAGGGGTCAGTGGGGAAGGGGATTTCAGTTCTCAGGGCATTTCCTCCCGTATGTTCGAATTTGTTACAACCACGCACGCTTTTTGCTTAAAGCAAAACAGGGGCCCTTTAGTAATGTGGCCTGGCATCTCCTTCTGCTGGGGGTCCTGGTACCGGTAGGCCGCACTGGCTCACCCTGCCCGCCTACTCTCACTGCAGGTGCTGCAGGGTTCTTTGAAACGGAAAAGTACAACATTAAGGCCAGACATAAAGCAGACTGTAATTTTAAGGACTTTTTTTTTTTTTTTAAAGATTTTATTTGACAGAGAGAGACACAGCGAGAGGGAACACAAGCAGGGGGAGCGGGAGAGGGAGAAGCAGGCTCCCCGCCGAGCAGGGAACCCGATGCGGGGCTCCATCCCAGGACCCCGGGATCATGACCCGAGCCGAAGGCAGACGCCCAATGACTGGGCCACCCAGACGCCCCAGGACTTTTTTTTAAAGAAGTGATTGGGATTGGGTATATTCGTTTCCTACAGCTGCTGTGACAAAGCACCATAAACGGGGCTTAGAACAGCGGTGGTGTCATCTTCCGCACTTCTAGAGGTCAGAGCCTGAGCTGAAGCTGTCGGCGGGGCCATGCCCCCTCTGAGGCTCTGAGGGCTTCTGGTGGCTTCTGTGGCCTGTGACACATCTCTCTGTCCTCGGCCCCTGTCCTCACTCAACCTTGTGTCTGTGTCCACATTTCCTCCTTCTAAGCACAGGAGTCACTGGATCAGGGCCTGTTCTAATACAGAATGGCTTCCTCTTAACTAATTACATCTGCAAGGATCCTGCTTCTAAATAAAGTCCTATTCCAAGTCCCGGGGGTTAGGGCATGCACGGAGTTGGGGGGACTAGCCGCTGCAGTTTCTAGCCTTCCCATAGAGAAGCCTTTGGAGTTGCCACACTTAGTAATTTGATGATGTACTGTCTAAAATTGTGAACTTGCTTGTGAAAGCAGAATTTTACATGAACTTTCAGAAAGAACATTAGAAGCTGAAAAACCAGTGAATCACAGTTCCGAAGCAGGCCTCTGAATGAGCGTGTCCGTCAGCGAGCGATAGCGGGTCCAGGCCACTTTTTCTCTTGTTTCTGACCTTGCTTCTTTTAATAAAATGAACTGTGCTTTTAAATCTTCCACTTAGGAAATTGAGAGACTTTCTGAGCAGTTAGAAGAAAAAGAGAAGGAGACGCAGCAGCTGATGAGCCAGCCGGCGCACGAGCGAGAGAGGGAAGTGGCACTGCTCCGGAGGAGTGTGGCGGAGAAGGAACGGGCCCGGGCTGCCAGTGACATCCTGTGCCGCTCCTTGGCTGATGAGACCCATCAGCTGCGGAGGACTCTGGCCGCCACTGCCCACATGTGCCAGCATCTGGCCAAGTGTCTGGATGAACGACAGCGCGCTCAGGGGGATGTGGGGGAGAAGAGTCCGGAGGTAAATGTGTGCGCCGAGGACGGTGAAGGCCTCCCTGGGGCGGGAGGCCCTGCGTTGGGGCTGCACGAACCCGTGGCCGTCACAGGGGTTGGGGCGCCCAGAGCCCACTTCTGTTCTCAGTGTGAGACCCAGCTGTTGTGGCAAAGCCCACCCATCCAGGGGTTTCTTCTAGAATGATGGAACATGCAGAATGTGATAGGAAAGCAGGGAGCCCGTTTCCCCAGCCCCTCCCTCCCGGACAGCCCTGTGCACTTTGGCCTCCTTGGCCTCACTCAGCTGAGGACCAGAGGGCAGAGCCGGGCTGGCAGGCCTGCTCCGAGCAAGTGCAAGCACTCGAGCGTTGGGCAGATGAGCAAACTGCCCCTTTCCGTGCCCCGTGTGCGGGGCCAGGCCCCAGCCCGCCTCGAGGGCAGTGGGTGCCGGCCTTCTGTGGCTCCACGAGTCTGAGCAGAGCAGTGCCGCCCGGCCTGGGGCGGGGAGCAGGGTTCTTTCCAGGCGGCTCTCTGGAGCTGCCACCATGGTCACGTTGGAAATGCGCTCTGCGGTTTTCTGGGGGGGGGGGGGGGCAGGTCGCCTGGCTCCTTAGCAGCCTCTTCACTGAGAGCCTGCGTGGGGAGAACCTCAATCTGAGAGCCACCCGTTCCCGATGGGGGGATTCCACGAAAAGGGAACCTCAGAAAGAACACCCGTGTATTTCAGAAGCCAAAAGACGAGGGCTGTCTGGGAGGAAGCGGCCGTGCTCATTCAACTTTGAGTCACTGTGTCATTTCCTTGTGGGGACTTGGAAGTGGCTGCACAGGAGGGTTGGCCTGGGGCTGCTGTGGGGTCGGTGCAGCCCCTAAAGCAGCATCACTTCTCAGCCTGGGACTTGGCTGAGTCACCTGGGGCTTCCCGGTGCCTGCTCAGTGAGGACACCCACTTCCTTTATCATTCAAGGGGAATTCTCAGAAACGATGTCACCAACATACAGCCCCCTGTTCTGTTAAATGCACTGAGGTTCTCGGATTCAGATGGACTTCTCATGAGACTTTTCGCTTAGGTCTGCCCACCATTGTTAGGGTTGGTTTCGGATGTGGCTTCTCGGTGTGAACACGGTGTGTGGTTCACATCGCCACGTGTGAACCACTGAGGTCGACCCTGACTCTGCAGACGTGATGCTGTCATGGGCTTGGAGGAGGGGAGCTGGCTTCCCGGCCAGGCCTGCACCAGGCCGGAGCCTTCTCTGCGGCCCCACGGGGCTGAGCTGCCTACCCGCCCGACTTCTCTGATGACGGAGCATCTGAGGCCGTGGGAGACCGGACGCATGGCTGGATGCAAGCCAGCTCCTGGCGACGGTGTGGCCCCGGTCCCCCTGGAGGCCCGGGTGGGGCTGGAGCGGACCCCTCCCCGCCCTCCAGCCTTTCCGGTCTCTGTCCCTCTCCTGAGGGCACGCCTGCCAGGGGACGCTGCTAGATGTGGTGCCATCGGTGGCCTCAGTCCGCAGGTCTCGCTTCTTCCTCCCTTCTTGCTGCATGTGCCATGTTCAGCGACATGGCGTCTTCCCTCTGTCCCTTCCTTCTGCAGCCAGAGTGTACAGGCGGGGCCGCCTCCGTACAGGCTGTTCTTGAGAAGTTACAGGAAGAAAACCGTCTGTTACGACAAAAGGTGACTCATGTGAGTATCTGTCCCTTTTCGTTCAACCGCAGGGGAGGGTCCTACCGTCTCTGTGGTGCTCAGGGCTTGTGTCCCCCTCGGGACACTTGGGTTGACACACACAGCCCCCAGAGACCTGGCCTTTCTGCGTCAGAGAGCAGAGGACGCGCCCTGTCCTGCTCTGTCCCCCCCCGCCCCGCCCCCGGTTCAGCTCGTAGGTCGAGAAAGAAGGTGCAGGGGTTTCAGGTAGAGCTTTTAAGGCAGGAGAATGGCACCGAGTCCACTTGGGTGGAAGCCGGTGGCCCGGGGATGTCCTCACCGCGCCTCGGCTGCATCTGTTGGTCTCAGTGTCCCCCGTGGACGGAGCCCAGTGAGGCACCGGTGGTTATGGGCCAGAGCTCCGCAGCGGCCTGTTGCTAACAGAGAGCTTCCCGGCCTCGGCCGCTGTCACCCCGAGCTCTGGCTGCGTCCCCTCAGGTGGAAGACCTCAACGCCAAGTGGCAGCGCTACGACGCCAGCAGGGACGAGTATGTGAGGGGGCTCCACGCGCAGCTGCAGGGGCTGCGGGCCCCCCCCGAGCCTGAGAGGCCCTCCTGCCCCGAGATGATGAGGAAGGAGATTTCCAGGCTCAACAGGCAGCTGGAGGAAAAGATGGGCGCGTGTGCGGACGTGAGGCGGGAGCTGGTGGCCGTGAGGGGCGCCCGCGACGCGGCGCTGGAGCGCGTGCAGATGCTGGAGCAGCAGGTGGCGCTCTGGGCGGCCGTGGCGGGGGGTCTGCCTCCTTCCCGGGCCGACGCGGCTCCGCGCCGTGACAGCCGAGTGTCTCGCCTCCTTTCAGATTCTCGCTTACAAGGATGACTTCACCTCAGAAAGGGCAGACCGAGAACGGGCCCAGAGTAGGATTCAGGAGCTCGAGGAAGAGGTGGCTTCCTTGCGGCAGCAGGCGTCCTGGACACAGGTGGGGTCCCAGGGCTTTTCTCCTCGTTTAGGCTCAGCGTTTCTCTCGTTTTTCTTTTCCTGAATTTTGAGTGTCGGCCCGAAACGCTTGTCACGGCCCAAGCCCGTCGGCCCGCTTGGGTCAGAGCCGCCTTGCCTGGCGCCCGGGGCACGGTGGCGGAAGCCGTCTGTCACGGTGGTGTGATGGAGGAGGTGGCTGTCCACGGGGCCCGTCCTGGGCTCTGGGCCCCCTACCAGGCCTTCCTGCCTACACGTCGCCTCCTTGCTGTGAGGCGGGGACCCGGGTTACCCCATTCTGCAGACCTGGACACTGAGGCCCCAGGTGTCCAGTGATGTCCCCCAACTCATGGTCCGTGTGCGGCGAGATGCGCCATATGGGCCAGTGGGCCCTCCCCCCCCCCCCCCCCCCGGGAGGCCTGGCAGGTGTCAGAATTGACAAAGTCTCTCACCGCAGGACGCACGGCACCCACCTGCCTCTTCCCTTCTCAGCCCTGCGGACACCCCAGGAAAGCTTAGTTTCTTTAGCCCCTCAGCAAGTACCCAGCACACCTCTGGCCCTGGAGTGAACCCTGGGCCCCCTGAAGAACTTTCGTCTGGACACGGATGGGGCAGTAGTGGCAGCGCCGGGGCCCGACGTACCAGGCGGCGCAGGGACGCTGAGCGGACCTGGGAGCTGCCCGCCGGGGTTGCCGGTGGCCTGTGCATTCCCCGCTGCGGGAGGGGTGCAGGGAGTCATGGGGGACACCCTCTCTTTCACACTCTCGGACTAAGTCCATAGCCGTGGGCCTGGACAGAGCATTGTGGGTGAAGTGGGTGGGGACCGTGGCCGAGGTCTGTGTCCCCGAGTCTGCAGGCCAACGGGGAGGTGCCGGAGGACCTCACCAGCCCCGGCAGCCGTCTTGGCCTCCGTCCGGAGTTCCTGCTTCTCCTCAGGCCCCGGGACTGAGCATCCTCCCACGTGGCCGGGCGGGGACGGGGCGTCCTCCTGCGATTTGGCTTGGCCTCTGGGTTTTCTCGAGGAAGCATGTGCTCTTGGGTTGAAAGGTCGTTAAGGATGTGGTCCTCAGTGGCCTCTCAACGACTCACGGCCAAGAGGAGTGACCAGAACCGGCTCCAGGTCTGGTGGAGCCTGAGGCTCTGTATCTGTCTCAGCCGCAGCCCGCGGCCCCTCGAGCAGTGAGGAGCACTCGCTCTGATGCCCGGCGCCTGGGTGGCCCTGGGGCAGGGGCGCTGAAGGCGTGGCCAGTGAGCCAAAGTTCCCGAGCAGTAGTGAGGGGCGCGGCAGGCCACGGCTCACACACGACCGCTGTCTAGGGGAACCCCTGCTGCCTCAGGGGGCTCCCAAGTGCTCCGAACCCCGGGCCTTGCAGAGATGGTGCAGAGCGGGGCCGAGGCACAGTTCGTCCAGCTCCCCGCCCTGAGCTCTGCCACCCCCCTCTCCACTGAGGTGTCCGGGGCAGGTCTTCAGGGCCGAGGGGCCGCCCAGGGGTGGGGGTGCACCCCGCTCGACCCTGTCCCTTCCTGAGCACACGCAGCAGTCTGTGTGCCCACTTCAGTTCTGTACGGAGCACCACCACGTTTGGGCTCTGGGCTACTCCAGGAAGCAGGGTGAGGGGTGTGCGTCTCACTCAAGGATAGAAGAAATATCTCAGGTGCTAGAACCCAACACGTGATTTTGTGGTCTCCAGGGCAACCCACGTAAACGGACCTTTGCCTTTTTTCCAGGACCGCCGTGAGCCAGGCTCCTGCCGGATTCACACAGGAAACAGAACCTCCAAGTACTTAGAGATGGATGCTTTGGAGCTCGTGGCACCCAGTGGCCGGAGGGCGGGGACTGGATCTCAGGGGCTGGACTCCCCCGCCGAGGGCAGAGCGACCCGGAGAGGGCAGGGGGACCTTCAGTGCCCTCACTGCCTGCGGTGCTTCGGTGACGAGCAAGGCGAGGAGCTCTTCAGGCATGTGGCTGAGTGCTGCCAGTGAGACCCGTGGCCGGGAGAGGGAGAGAGCCCTCGAGATCTGGGGCCCAGAACGGGCTGAGGGTGCTTCGGATCCTTCACCTTGGTCCTTCTCGGGCGATGGAACAGACCAGGTCAGAGGGAACCTCCCGTGGGGCATCTGCTCCTGGAAGGGAGTGTGGACCCCCAGCTGCCAGGCTGAGAGGCTGGGAGCAACCGGATGCAGGGATCCAGGCCAACAGGACCGCCCCCCCACGCCCCCGCCCCTGGGCGCGCCACAGCTGCTGGGAAGAGGGGGCTGCCTGTGGGGACCACACGTGTGGGCCCCGGGGTGAAAGGCCTGCCTTGTTCTGTTGAATAAGGACCGGGAGGTATGCAGAACTGAGCGCTCTGGCAGCACCTCGCACCTGGGGGCCGGTCTCTGCCACCGCAGAGCCGTGTATCTGCACTGAAATGTACCCCAGTAGCCTTTGCCATGTATCTGAGAGTCAAGAGACGTTTCGCATGCACTTATTTTCATAATAAATGTACTTACTCTGGTGATCGCTCTGAGGATGCGTCCTGGGGGCTGGGGTGCAGGGACCGGTTAGTATTTCCAGTCGGGCTGGACTTAGACCAGCCGGTGAGGAGAAACACTCCCATGTCTGCCACCTGCCAAGGGACCGAGATGGACTGGCCGGAGTCCAGCCAGGCCTGCCTGTTGGGGGGTCATGTGACCTGGCGCCTGCCCAGCTTTGCCTTTGGGCAATTTCAGCCCCAGCCCAGGATGTGAATTCAAGGGCTGGAAACAAGGGGAGGAAGCAGGTGCCTGCTGAGAGCAAGGTGAGGTTGCCGAGGGCCCACCAGCGGAGCGGGGCGGGGGGGGGGGGCAGGAAGGAGAAGGCAGGAGGGGAGACTGAGGCGCTGTGCTAAGTGTTTGCCAGGGTCACTCGTTTAACCCTTCCAGCAGTTCCAGGATGCACATGTTAGATCATCCTCAACACGGACAAGGAAAATGCACAGAGGGGTTAAATCGCTTGCCCAAGGTCACACAGTGGCTGAATGACAAAGCTGGGATTTGAACCTGTGTTCTTAATTGCACATTCTGTACTTCTTCCTGGAACTCACCCTTCCAGGTGGTTAAGTCCTCCTCAAGTCTGAGTTCAGGTGTCGCCGCCTCTGGGGACTCCCTGCGCACCCCTTTCTGCCGGAGCCCGGCTGGAAGGGACCCGGCCTGTGTGGCATGGGGTGGGTAGGCTATAGCAGAAAAGCCTCAGTCGGAGTTGGAAGGGTTTGTGGACATCTGAACAGTGGAAAGAGAGGCTGGGGACATCCCAGAGAGAAGGGAGCCACAAAAGGGGGAACCCTCACATCCTTGGCTGACCCCCAAATTGTGCACGCTTCGAGCAAGACCCCAATGATTCTGGGGTGAGAAGAGCAGATGGAAAACAGAAAGAGCTTAGCAGGCATCCCCATGGCTGAGTATTACAGGGTAACAGCTTTGAATCTGGGTCCCTCAAGGTTAGAAGGGCTTAGTAAACACTTCAGGTTTTCCTTTGAAACCCTAGAAGGGCCAGATCTCGAGTAAAGTTGACATCCTGGGACAAAATGGAAACAGCCCTTGCTCTAAAAAGGCAGAGTCCCAGGTAATCAACCAACAAATCACCTGCCTATTGGAACAAGAACCAACTTTCTTTAGAGACGGGCAGAATCTCGGACTTTACACTGTACTAACCACAAATGCAATATGCAAGAGAAAATACTAGACGGGCGCCTGGCTGGCTCAGTCGGTAGAGCACACAACTCCCGATCTCGGGGTTGTGAGTTTAAGTCTAAAAATGCAATCCTAAGAAAAAAAAAGAAAATATTAGATGTAGGAAAAATGCAGCACAAAGGTATTTTCAGATAAATACAAGGTAGTGATATTTATATCCAGCAGACTCTACTATAAGAAATTTGTACCATAGAAATTATTCCAGCTGAAGGGAAGTGACTCTAGATAAAAAATACAGAAAGGAGTGAAGAAGCTGGGGGAGTGGGTAGATTAGGGTTACTGACTGTTTAGACAGTCCTTTTGAGGGCTTTAAAACATGCAAACACGTGGCCACAAGAGCTTTCTAGGTGTGGGGGAGGGAGTATTTAATGAACTTACACAGGAGTTTTTGCATTGATCTAAGGTGGACTGTAATGCAGTTGGGAAGCATAATCTCTAGAGTAACCACTAAAATAGTAATACAAATACTTAACTAAGAAGTGAACAGAACAGAGAAATGTTTCTATTAACCCAAAGCAGGACACGTTAGGAAAACTAAAGGTATCAGGAAGAGATGAGACACAGAAAATAGATGGCAAGATGGTGTACTTAAACCCAACCCTATCAGTAATTAACTTAAAAGATATGTGGGTCAAATACTGACTGAAGGATCATGATTATCAGGCTGGGCGAAAATAACAAACTCTCCCGTCTGTGCTCGGTAGCAGAGGCATACTTTAAATGTAAGAGCAGAGAAAAGGACAGAAAAAGACACACCAGGCCAGCACTAGCCGAGATAATGAGGGAGTGGATGCAGCCACTCTCATTTTGAAGCCATGAATGACATGGTTTCCAAAAATATAGAAATGAAAAGGAGACCTGGATAAAAGCACAATCATAGCTGAGGATTTTCACACACCTCTCAGAGAGAGGAGCAGGGATGCTAAAGATTTAACCAAAATATTTAACCGATTCGGCCTCCTTTGCGTATGAAACATGACGCCCAACAAAAGCCAACTGGAATTCTTCTCAGCTCTACGTGGGACACTTACCAACAGAGACAAATCTGGGGGCACATAAACCAAGTCACAACATATTCCAAAGAACCGAACCACTGGATTTATGTTCTCTGACCGTGGTGAGACTAAACCACAACTCAGTAACAGATAAATACCAAATTCTCAACACACTTCTAAGTGGTCTGTGGGCAAAGGAAAAAACCACAATGGAAATGAGAAAATACTTTGTGCAAAAATGAGGTTAAAATTCAGTGATCTGAGTGCCCATCTCAAGAGCTAGGAGAAGAACTGCATATTAAACCCAAAGAAAGGAAAGGACAACATAAGAGCAGAAATCAATGAGACAGAAAACAGAAAAGTCAGCAAAGCCAAGAGTTCTTTCAAATGGCAACACCACCAACAAACCAGTAACAAGACTCACGAGGAAAAGACAGGAGACAAATTGCTGATAAGCGGGAATGAAAAGGGGGACGTCACTATGGATCTCCGAGGACTATCATGAACACTTTATGCTGATAAATCTGACAGATGAAACGGATAAAATCCTTGAAAAGCACAACTTACCAAAACAGATACAAGAAGAAACAGAAAACCTGAGCAGCTCTGTAGCCATTAAGTAAACTGAATCTGTAATTAAAAATATTTTCACAAAGAAAATTATAGGCCCCGGATGACTTCACTGGTGAATTCTTCCAAACATCTGAGAAAGATATACCAGTCTTACATACACTCAGCAAACAGAAGGAATGTTCCCCGACTCATTTTTATGACACCAAAACCTGAGAAAAATAAGAAAATGACAAATCTCTCTCATGAAACACAGATACAAACATCCTAAACAAAATATAAACAAACTGAATTAGATAGAAAAAGGATAAGACGTCATAGACAAGTAGAACTTTAATCAGAGATAAGACTGACTATTAAAAAAAAAAAAAGCACTGGGGCACCCGGGTGGCTCAGTCAGTCAAGCGTCTGCCTTTGGCTCAGGTCATGATCCTGGGGTCCTGAGATGTCGGACTCTCTGCTCAGTGGGGGTTCTGCTTCTCCCTCTGCCCCTCCCCCTGCTTGTGCTGTCAAATAAATTAAAATCTTAAAAAAAAACCCAAACCACTAATGTAATTCACTAGAATAACAGAAAAGACATGATCATCTCAACAGAAGCAGAAAAAGCATACGACAAAATTTAATGTCCATTCATGATAAAAACACACAGCAAACTAGGAATAGAAGGCATTTCCTCAATCTGATAAAGATGTATGTCCGAAACCCCACACCGAACATTCTATCTGGTGACAAATACTGAAAGCTGTCTGTGCCTGCTCAGGTTTACGTCAAGGCAGGGGCACTCTTCCTGCTGCAATTCCACATTGTACCGGAGGTTCTACCTAGTGCAGTAAGTTAATAAAAGGAATAAAGAACAGAAAAATTAGAAGAAATTGTCCTTATTTGCAGATGACATGATTATAGATGTAAAAAATCCTAGGTGATCTTAAAGTTTAAAATTTGTAAATCATTTTGACAATCTCGAGATACAAGTTTCAACATATGAAAAATCTACCATATGCTGTATATTTGCAACAACTGGAGAAACGATTTTAAAAACCTGTTTCCCCAAAAGATAAGGTGACTAAAAAGATGTTAAGTCCTAACCCCCAGAACCTGTGAATGTGACCTTAACTTGGAAATACGGTCTTTGCAGATGTCATATGAGATGATGATGTGCTGGATGAGGGTGGGCCCTACACCCAATGTTACTGGTGTCCTTTTAAGAAGAGACATGGGGTGCCGGCTGGCTCAGCTGGTGGAGCAGGCAGCTCTTGATCTTGGGGTTGTTGAGTTCGAGCCCCATGTTGGGTGTGATTACTTAAAAATAAAATCTTAAAAAAAAACAAGAGAGACACAAACAGAGACACAGGGAAGAGGCCATGTGAAGACCGGAAGAGAGACTGGAGGGACACCTCTACAAGCCAAGGACTGCCGGGGGAGCCGGGGGGAGGCGTGGGACAGATGGGTCTTCACCTCTAGACGGAACCAATCCTGTGGATACCCATGTTTTGGGGCATATATCCTCCCAGGGATTTTGGGTTCTATCCTCCAGGACTGTGAGAGAATACATTTCTGTTGGGAGAAGCCACCCAGTTTATGGGTACCTTGTTACGAGAGCCCCAGGAAACTAAAACATTAACCCCATTTATGATGTCAAAAACCTAAAATGCTTAGAAAAAACTTATCAGAAGTGTGCAAAATTTCTACAATACAAGCTACAAAATAACTGCTGAAATTCAAGAACATGTAAATGAAGAGAAATCACATCTGCAAACGGCACTCTGTAATCTCAAGCTGTCACTTCGTCCCACATTGATCTACAGACTCAACACGGCCTCATCCATACCCCAGCAAAAGCTTGTGACCAGCTCATTTTATATTTTTTTTGGTTCCCTACTTTTACAGGACTCCAGTTACATGTATGTTGAACTGCTTGATACTGTCCCACAGGTTTACCATTTTCCATTCTCTCTTCTCTCAGTGCTTCTTTCTGGTAGTTTCTGTTCCTATGCCATCAAGTTCATGGTGTTTCCACAGAGGTTTCGGATCTGCTGTTAATTCTATCCAGGGTATTTGTTCATTTCAGATAATGTATTTTTTCTTTAGAACTTCACCTAGGTCTTTTTTGGATCTTTCATTTCTTCCTTCATCTTGTTCATGATTTCTTTTACATCTTGAGCATATATATAAGACTTGCAATAGCCATTTTAACGTCCCTGTCTGCAAATTCACCGTCATTTTGGGGTCTGTTGTTATTTCTCTTGCTTATGGTTTATATTTTCCTTCCTCTTGGCATGGCCTGGTAATTTCTGCCTGGATTCCAACATCGTGAATTTTGTTTAGTGTGGGATACTTTTGTATTCTTTTAAAGAACGTTCGACTTTGTTCTAGCAGGCAGTTAAGATACTTAGGATCAGTTTGATCCTTCTGAGGCTTGCTTTTTAGATTTTACTCTAGGGCTTATTTAACCGCCCTGCTAAGGTCATAGCTTTCTGAGGACCCTAACGCCGGTGTCCGCACTGCGTATTACAAGGTTCTCCACCGTGGCTGGTGCAAACACTATTCCAGCCGGTCTGCCTTCTGGTGATTTTCCCTTGGGTTCCTGGAAGTTTATGCCACACCTGCAACATTAGTAGACTGTAGGGGACTCTGCAGACCCCCCGAGACCTTATGTGCAGCCCCCCACGTCTGGAACCCCGCCCCACAAATTCCAGCCACCTTGACCTCTCCAAATGCCAATCTCTGCTTGCTCCGCTCAGCAGGCCTGCTGGCCCCCCGCCGCCCCCCCGCCCCCCCCCCCCCCCCCCCCCCCCCCCCCCCCCCCCCGCCCCCCCCCCCCCGCCCCCCGCCCATGCTGGGCCTGGAAACTGCTCCAGGCTGGAAGCTGGGGCGCCAAGAGGCTTTACCTGGTTTCCTCCCCTTCACTCAGAAAACCCCGCCACGTGCTGTGTGTCTCCCAACACCCAAAAACATTGTTTAAACACCTTCCTGGGTTTTACAGTTGTGTGTGGCAGGGGCACAGTCTCCGCGGCAGTTCCTCCCTCACGGGGGCCGCCGGCACGTGTCTGGGGCTCTTCCTCGGAACTACCCCGGCTGCTCCACGGAAGACCGTGTGGACGGCTCCCGGGCCCGGCGGGCGCCCGGCGGCGCGCAGCTTGTTTCAGGCCTAAGTGCTTGACGGTTCGGAAGCGCACAGGATTTCCCCGCGCGCCTCGCCTCCCAGCCCTCGGTGCTTATGCTTTACGTTCTCATCGTGGGTCCGGGACACCGACGGCCTGTCACCGGGAAGACGAGGAACCGGGACTCAAGTTACTTCAATTCTGGTCATTCTGTGGGTGACCTTTTGTTGTGTTTAAAACAGAAACAGTGGGACCTGTGAGGTAAGTTTCTTCTCCTTTATCAATGAAATGAAGAAACGTTCATCCTTTCTGGTACAATACTCCTTTCGATGATATTTTGGTTTAATAGCATGAGTATGTAGACAAAGTTCAATAAAAAGACACTTTTACTGTTTCTTTTCTAGCCATCCTTATTTTATTTCATCTCACGATTGCCGTTACCGTGTAAAGGAGGTGATGCTCCAGCGTGTGGTCTGAGGCTCCCCCAGGGGTTGGCGCCCGGGTCTAGGCCCCGTGAAGACAGGAGCACTGGAGCTGGGTGTCCCGCAGAAGCACCTTGGGCCTCGGTTTCCCCATCTGTAAATGCAGTGTCCGGGCGTGAGGACACGCGATGACCAGTCCCCAGGCCTGGGCCTTCTGCCTCCCCCTCCCCCGGACTCTGTGCTGGGCCTCCCGGGCCCCAGATGCACCTTCAGAGACCTGGGAATGGGAAAGTGACACCCCCCTCTTGGGGAAAGAGCCAAAGGAACAGCAGGGGCGGAAGGGGGCAGGTGGGGCCACCTCAGGAGTGGGCGCTCAGGGGTTCCGCTCACCACGCACGGCCCTGACAAGGTCCTGCTCATGTCACAGGTGGGACCCTGCGGTTCCTCAGCACCCAGTGTGGCACCCCGGGACAGACGGAAGCGGAGGCCCAGAGGGGGGACTGCCCCCAACACCACCTCAGCCCTGTCCCCGGGGAGAAGGGGACGGGGCAGGGGGCCTAGGCGGGCAGCTTCCCCGGAGAGCAGGCTCCCCCGCACCCCCCCTCCCCGGACCCTGCCCAGCATCTGCTGCACTGACCCAGTTGTGGCTCCCCTTTGCCCTCACCAGGGGCGTGGAGGCCCAGGCCTGGGCTCGAGAGTCCTGGAGGCACATCGGGGCCTTTCGAGGACGCGGCTCCCGCTGCGGTCACTGCCCAGCCCGTTCCTCGCTTTGCAGGGTCATCCCACGAGCAAAGCGGTACGCTTGTTCTCCCCACCTAGTCAGAGAAAAAGCAAAACCAGCCAGCCAGCCTCTTGCCCCATCTCCTACTCCCAGGACCTGCCGTCCCCACCCTTGTTTTCCTGCAACCCAGCTCCCACTGGGCTGTGGTCAAGGACACTCCAGTGTCAAGAGCCCTGGGCCCGTCCTTGGAGCGCACCTTGACCACAGCGGCCCTGCCACGGCCAGTCTCTCCCCACCTGTGCCCTCCAGGCTGCCCTCCTCCTGCCACCCCGGACACTGGTTCTGGGTCCCGGACCCCTGACCTGTCCGCACTTGCTCCGGGGTGGCCTTCTGTCCCCGAACAGCAATTCCCAATATGCCAGACATCTCACCTGGGGGGGGGGTGTCTGATGGGCACCTCAGACTTGACCCCTGCCCCAGGGCGGGCAGCCCCATCTCGCCCGGGGCTCAGACCACAGCCCGGGAGCCCCTCCTGCCTCCTCCCTCTGCTTCCTGCACCCCGTCCGTCCAGAGGTGCTGTGGACGGAACCGGCAGAATGCTTCCAGAGGCTGCTTCCTCTTGCCCTGTCTCCACAGGGAAGCGGGGACACGCCCCATCCCTGCGGCTGCACACAGGCAGGTCTCCCGAGAGGCGGGAGCAGTGTGGCTCCGCCGTGCTCTGGGAGGTGGGTGGCAGGAGGACGGCGACCGGGCGGCGGTTCTGCCGGGGACTCCTGCCAACGGCCTGGACAGACCGCAGAGGAAAGGAATCCAGGCAGCATCCCCACTCGCATCCTAAATCCTGCCGGTGTCGTTCCCCGTTTAAACCCAAGTGAACACCTGTGACTCTTCATAGTCTCGTCTGAGATCGCCCCCTCCCGCCGCCGCACTGGATAAGCACCTGCCCATGGGGCTCTATGTAGTCCCAGGCTGCTGCCCCTCCGGCCCACCTGCTCTGCGTCCCCTGCCCCGGAGGTTAGAAGGCGGGGACCCCTGCTCCGCCTCCACCCCGCTGCTGCTGCTTGGGGTTACCACTGCTCTCTCACCAAACCCTCTCGAGCGCCGGGCTGGGCTCTGTCCTGGGCCTGGCCTTGCCTGGCACGCGGAAGGCCCCGGATACACTGCTGCATGGAGGATGGTGGGGGTGCCAGTACCCCTACACTGCTGCCAGGGGTGACCCGGGAGATGCTCCAAGGCTGGTGGCCCAGGTTTCCCTTGGGGGGCACTGCCCCCCACTCGCCCCGTGCCCTGCCCCGCCCCCGGCACCACACCGCCCCCAGCAGAAAGCAACCAGACGAGGTCTTCTGCTGTACTAATGTATTCCATCTTTCAAAAAGAAAGACATGATTTTAATATTACTTAACAATATGTTAAAAAAGTAGCCAGGCAGGCCTCCGTGTTAATACAGTCGTACACTCTCTAACAGACTTGATGGTGTGAGTACTGGGTGGGGTTTTGTTTTTGAACTTTCTCATTCTGCAAGGGATCTTACACAAGCTGGCTACAAGTCAGGGGGTCAGACACAAACAGCGCAACGTGTACACTCTTAGACAGTAGATTGTGGAGGAGAACGGAAGAGCGCCTGCCCGCCCAGCCCGCCTCGGGTGGGGTGCAGGGCACACGAGAGCTGAGTGACGGCAGTGCCCTGGCGGGGACAGATGACAGGACAGGGCGAGATGCAGAGGCAACGAGCCACGTGGATGATGAAACGCGTCTCTGGCCACGACCCAGGCTCCCGGGCCGCGGGGTGGAGAACCGGCAGGAGCCACTGTTCCAATCCGACAGCACGGCGCCGTGCTCAACGCCTCACTCACAGACACACGCACACGAGCTCCCGGCGCGGGCCGAGCAGCGAGTCCTCGGTCTGGGGCTCTCGGGGGCGGCAGCCCACCCGGCCCGGCCCTGGGCCGGCGCTGCGGCTCCGGGGCCTGGCCCACCTCCCGCGCGTCCCTCTCCAGGCGGTCCTCATTCAGTGGGCAGCAAAAGTGGCTTTTTTCAAGCTAAAATTGGACCAGTTGATGGACAGTCTTTGTCGGGTCTGTCTAGCGGAATCCAGACAGAATCTGTGAAGACAAAGAGCCAAACAGTCAGGGAAGGGAACAGCCCGCACCTGAGCTGGTGTCGGCAAAGCCCAATGTACCTCCGGGGGGGGGGGGGGGGGGGGCTCCCAGTTGCCAGACCCGGCGACAAGGTCCCCTCCGCATCTGGCCCCCCTTCAGAGCGCGGAACGGCCCTCGGGGGGATGGGGGCCCCCTTCTTCAGGACACTGGCCAGCACCCTCAATGTCCTCTGGGCTCCTGTGTCCTTCTTAGCTGCCCAAGGGAAGTTTCTGATAAGCCCGTCTGAGAACGTGCCAGCGGCCACCACCCTGCCCTTCTCCACGTGTTAAGCTGTGGAGATCCCCTCTGCCCTCATTTATCCATGAATGCACGCTTGAGTGTGGCATGGAACAGGACCTGGCCCGGTGAGACTCGGTCACAGCGCTGCCCGCCGCCCCCAGGTCTCCGAGGCAGGCCTCCAGCCCCGGAGCCCAGCTCTGCTGCACCCCTGCACGCCCAGCAGTGTTTGAAAAACACCACCTTCTGCTACCTGCTTCCCAGGCAATAGTGGCTGATTCTGTATTAAATGCGAACACTTCCTTTCAAACGCCTATACTTCGCATAATTTCTGAAGTTCTCACCTGTCCAGCTCTCATCTGAGCAGCAGAAACTTGAATTAAGCCTGCAAATGGTTACTGCTATCACCCAGCCAGAAGCTGAAGTGTGTTCATTTACAGGGCGGTTCAATCGCCCACAACTTCTTGTGCTGCCGGCCGGGCGGTCTGTGTCCATCCCCGCCCTGCTCCCAAGAATACAGCCTCTCCTTCCCTGGCCACAGTTGGTCAAAACCCGAGTCCTAGTGGCGTCACCTTTTCAAGCTTCAGGAAACTCCCCCGTCCCCCCTTGCTCTGGCGGTAGCTCCCAGTGGTCCCCAGCAGGCCACGCACCCCCATGTCTCTCCACGCCCCATGGCTGGAATGCCTACAGGTGGCTCCGAGCCGACGGAAGCAAGGCCCCCAACGGCTCTCCCGGCACAGGGCCCCCAGGCCCCCAGCCGCCGGCTCTGCCTCCTTCCCACACCCCTGGCTCCCCTGCACCTGATGCTGACACCCCCTGCCCATCAGGCCTCCGTGTGGTCCGCTGTGGACTGTGTCACACACACTGCAAACGTGTACCCAGGTGACTGGGACCAAGCCTAGGTCGCCCCAGCCCCCCAGCCCAGGTCCGGAAGCCCGACCCTGCCGACCTCTTGGCACCTCGCTGTCCTCTCCCGGGAGGCAGCCTGCACCCTGGCGTGTGTGACAATCGCCCCATGATCTCGCAGCCCCTCGCCCGTGTTTGCGTGTGCTGATTTCTGAACTTACAGGAACAGAATCGTCCTGTATTTTTTTCTTATTGCTTGCATTCAACACTATGTTGTGCGATTCCTCCATGAGGCCGCTGTGTGCTCGTTTCCAAGGCTCCAAGAGCTCACCCCGCGGAACGGACAGACGAGCGGGTGCTGCTGCTCACCCAGGTGGGAGCACGGGGCTCCATGAAATGGCCGGCTTCAACTTGACCCGATTCCGCCAAACTTCTCCACGGTCGCTGGAGCCACTCTGTGCTCCCCCCGGGGGGTGGGGGAGCCACTGCCCCTGCGCACCCAGCCCCCATCAGGCGGGAGGCCTCTCCACAGGTCCGTGGTCACCGTTTTCTGTGACAGCACATCTGTCCACGCTGTTTTGTCTTTTCCTGCTCTGTCATGTTTATCTGTTCTGATGCCAACCCTTCGTGAGGTGCTGCACACACGGTCTCCTCACTTTCTTTAAAGAATTGTTGATTTTAATGTCATTTATCAATCTTTTATTTTATGGTTGGTGTTTTTAAGAAATCTTTCCCTACTCTGAGGTCAAAAAGATACTCACCTATATTCCAAATCAAAAGGTTTGCTTTTGACATTTAAAATCTTAACTCATCTAGAGGTGACCTTTGGGTAGGATATGGGGGGCAGATCCAATTGAAAAGGTTTTCTTACACAAACTTTCATAGCTCCATTTATGAACACACCTTCATTTCCACTGTCGATCTGTCTTTTGTCATAAACCAAAGCTCAGCGTTTGTACAGTCTGTTTCTGGGCTCCGGATTCTGCACGCATATCACAATGTTTTCATGATCGTCTTTGTAATGGGCAAGAAAAGCCGTCCGTTCTTCCTATTCTTCTAGGAGGATCAGATTAATCCTTTAGAAGTTGGTTTGAGTTTTGTGTGAACGTCACACACATACAGGAGAGTAAACAGACATGTGCGCAAAAGGAAACTGGTAAGGCAAACGCTGGGGAGCACAGGCATCAGGCTGTGGGACAGTGCCTCCCGGCAGCCCCCACTCACCCCAGAAGTAATCACCATTCTGGCTTTTTAGGATAATTTCCTTGCTTTTATTTATAGTCTTAACACCTATGTACTGTATAGTATCCCTGAACGACAGACTTAATTTTTAAAATACACTTTACTGAGGTATAACTTATGTACAATAAATTAGTTGTTCTAGAGCTCACAGTGCTGACAAATAAATACATCGGGTAACCATCCCCTCAATCAAGACACAGAACACTTCCAGGAAGTGTCCTTTTGCTCATCTCCTTGCTGCCCCAGCCCCAGGGAAACAGGGATCTGCTGTCACTAGGGATGAACTTGTATTTTCTGGCATCTCACGTACACGCAACTTTGCAGTATGTCACCTCTTGTCTGGCTTCTTGCCCTAAGCAACCTGCTTCTGAGCTCTGGCTCTGGTGTTTCATCAGGAGTATGCTTTTCAACTGCTGAGTGGTGTCCACTGGACGGACAGAGCGCAGTCTATCTGCTCATCTGCTGTGGATACGGGTTGTCCCCAGTTTTTGGCTACTACAAGTGAAACTTCTAGAAACATTGATGTAGGAATCTTTGTGTGGATACATGCTCTTTCTTGTTTCTCTTGGGCGGAAAACGCCAGGAGTGGAGCTGCTGGACTGAGAGGTGTACATTAAAGAATATGTACTAGTGGAAAGAGCCCAGATGTCTATTGACAGGAACAAATACAGAAGACGTGGCGTGTACACACAACGGAATGTTACGCAGCCATCAGAAGGATGAAATCTTGCCATTTACTTCGATGTGGATGGAACTAGAGGGTATTATGCTGAGCAAAATAAGTCAGTCAGGGAAAGACAAATACCATATGATCTCACTCATATGTGGAATTTAAGGAACAAAACAGAGGATCATAGGGGAAGGGAAGGAAAAATAAGATGAAATCAGAAAGGGAGACAAACCGTAAGAGACGCTGAACTCTAGGAGGGCACGTGAGGGGATGAGCACTGGGTGTTAATGCAACTGATGCATCACTGACCTCTACCTCTGAAACTAATGATACACTTTATGTTAATAATTGATTTTAAATAAAGCAATTTTTAAAAGTGTACTTTGGTTATGTCTAAACTGACCTTTATATCAACAGGGTACTATGTATATTCTCGTGTTCTGCCTTTTGTCTACTGTTCAGTTTGTAAGACCCACGTTGCAGACTGCTCTAGTTCGTTCCTTCCCTCGGCTCTACAGCATGCCACGTGTGACCCCATCGCCACGTATCCACCCTACACTAATGTGTTTTAAGAACACTCAATTTTACAAAATCTTTCTTGGGTTTTAAAATCTACACATAAATTTTGGGAAGTGAGATAGCCTTATGATACTCACTTTTCCTATCAATGAATACAGGATCTATTCCAGGTCTTCAATATTCTTCACTCATGCTTCATTCTCTTCTACTCATAGGTCGTGGGCAACTTCTGTTAGATTTATTCATGGAGACTGCATAGATTCTGGTGCTCTTACAAATACTGTCTTTATTTAAACTACATTTTTAAATTACGGATGGTATAGAGAACATAACGTCTGTACACTGATCCTACAGCCAGTCCCTTCACTAAAAATTCTTTTTCTTGCTAAATTCTTTTGTAATTCCCTTTGTAGTCAATTAGATCATCTGTAAGTAAAATGGAACTTTATCTCCTGCTTTCCACTCCTTAAGCCTTTCTTTTCTCTTATTATGCTGTCTAGGAACCACGATTTAAGGCTGAACAGAAGAAGTGGAAACAGAGAGCATCTTTGTTTTGCACATGCTTCCACGCTTCCCGTTTGATTTCTAACTGTTTCATGTAGATTTCTTTTCTCTGTCTCTTTTGGTAAACTTCCTTTTCAGGTTAAGGATATTTCCTTCTACTATTAGTTTACCATTTTTCTTTTTTTAATTAATTGAATGCTAACATTTTATCAAATGTCTTTTCTAAACCCATGGAAATAATCATATGGCTCTTCTTTAATTATCAATTTAGCAAATAGCATTTGTGGATTTCCTAATAGTAAATACTCCTTGCATTCATTCCTAGGGTACACCAGTTTGGTCATATACTGCTTTTTAAAATACTGTTGGATTTGGAATGTGAAATTTTTTTGCATCCAATTAATATTCATGACCGAAACAGATCTGTGATTTTTCATGTTTTCTGTATCGCTTTTAGCAGATTTTGTTATCAAAATCTCCCTTCTCTCGTAAAATGAAGTGGGGAGTCTTGTGCTATCTCCTCCTGTCAATCCTCTGGTAGAATCAGTAGAAGGCTGGATAATCTCTTAAGTTTTGGGAGAATTCTCAGCACAAATGTCAGAATGTAGTGTCTCGTCGGGATTATTTGCAACCACTACTCTGATTTCTTTGATGCTTACTGGACCTGTCAGGTTATTTTGTTATTGGGTTGATTTTGTATCTAAGTTTTAAAATTAATTGTAAGGTTGTTCCCAGTGTTCTCTTATGGTCATCACTACGGTACCTGTAGTTATGTCTTCCTTTTCACTTACACAGTCACAAAACTAAAGAAACCCTTTTCATTACGGAAGATGTCAAACCCACACAAAAGCAGAGTGTGGTGACATGGGTGCAGCCATGGTCCAACTTTGATCATTCTCAACACTCTGGTTCTTTTCCATCTAATTACTGTATTGTTTTGTGTCTTTTCCCCCCTATTTTATCCTGATCGGTCTCTCAAAGGTTTATTTATTTAATATTTTCAAAGAGTCAAAGTTTGGCTTTGTTGATCTTCTCTGTATCTGTTTTCTGTTTCAGGATTCCTTTTATACATTATATCCTAAACTTTCTTTGGGTTTATTTGGTTGTTCTTTCCCTAATTTCTCAAACCCAAATCCTTAACTCATTAATTTTCAGGTTTTTGAAAACTCACTCGGCAGTCTTAAGACTTCACTGAAAGAGCGCTTGAGAACGAACTATGTCCCCATCCCACAAGTTCTCATATGCAGTGTTTTCCTTCTCTTTTTTTTTTTTCTTAAAGATTTTATTTATTTATTTCAGAGAGAGAGAGCACGAGAGGGGGAAGGGTCAGAGGGAGAAGCAGACTCCCCGCGGAGCAGGGAGCCCGATGCGGGGCTCGATCCCAGGACTCCAGGACCATGACCCGAGCCGAAGGCAGTCGCTCGACCGACTGAGCCCCCCAGGCGCCCGTTTCCCTTCTCTTTTAGTTCCACATATTTTTAAATGTCTACTGTGGTTTCCTATTGAACCCATGAGTTAAACATACTTTCAGATTTCCAAATACTTAGGGACTTAAAAATGTACTTCTTGTAAATTGCCGATCTAAATGTGGTGTCAGAGAACACAGTTACACATATTCCTTCTCTGAAACTTCTGCGCCTTCCTTTCTGTGGCCCAGTACCCGCTCCGCCTCCATGAGCGTCCTCTGTGGGCCCAAGAACACAGACGCCCTGTTCCCTGGACGCACTTTCATCTGTATCCACCTTCCACATCCCTGTGGATGTGGGCGCTGCTCAAGCAAGCAGCCACACGGAGACAGCTGGAGATGTCCTACACGGGAGGTGGATCGGATCCTCTATGAAGCCCAAAATATTTCCCGTTTGTATTTTGAGGCTATTTCATTTAGTACCTAGTTTAAAATTTCTATGTCTTCCTCACACACTGAACCTTTTAGCACCATGTAGCCACCTTTATCTGTCCCTTATATTAATCCATATTCTGGATGATAATAACATAATTATACAACAGCTTCCTCTTTACGTCCACCTTTCTTTTTTTTTTTCTTAAAGATTTTATTTATTTATTTCAGAGAGAGAGAGCATGAGAGGGGGGAGGGTCAGAGGGAGAAGCAGACTCCCCGCCGAGCGGGGAGCCCGATGCGGGACTCGATCCCGGGACTCCAGGATCATGACCCGAGCCGAAGGCAGTCGCTTAACCAACTGAGCCACCCAGGCGCCCTTTACGTCCATCTTTCTATTCACTGTATTTTAGGTATGTTCTTATAAACAGAGAGTGTGTGTGCGCGTGTGTAAGCATGTGTGTGTGTACTGAAAATCGTTAACACAATCTGACAAACTTTTTTTTCTCTTATGGTTGCTGATAAAACTGAACTTGTGTCTCTCGTGTTTTTAAAATTTGTTTACTGTACTTTCTTTACATTTATTTTTTTCATTTTGAGTTTTGATTTTTTCCTTCTACAGATTAGCAATTTATACACCCTATTTCTATTCTTTCAATGCTTACTTGTGAAACTGTATCACCCATTTAGCTTCAAGTCTGAATATTAAATACCTGTTAAATACCTCAACGAGAAAAGGACGTGAGGATACTCAGCTTCATTTCACACCCAGCTTACACGCTATTGCTGTTCAATACTGTGGTTCTTTCAGACATAATGTCAATTAGACATTATTACTATCTTGTTACAAAGAAAATGTTTTATTTAACAACATTTATCAGGCTGTTTCTCTCTCTCCTTCCTGCAAATCACACTGTCTTTCTGAGATATCTTTCTCTTTTGAAGATTTTTTTTAAACACAGATGTCTTTGGAGCAAGTCCCTTTAGTTTTTCTTTATTATGGAAAAGAATAGGTTTGTGGGATACACAGTTACACACTGACAACTTTCTCTCAACGCTGTAAATATCACCCCATGGTCTTCTGGTTTCACATCTGCTATGTTGAAGAATGGATTTTTGTTTATCCCACTGGTGTATGTTGTGTTTCTGAATTTGTAGATTTGGATTTCTCATTAGCTCTGCAAAATCCCCAGGTGCTGTATCTCTTCAAATATAGCTTTTCTGCAGCCTTCACATTCTCCTAGGGGGGCTCCAGTTAAACGTCTGTCAGACTCAGTCTCTCCTCCATGTGTCTGAACCTCTTTCCTCTTTTCTAATTTCCTTGTGTGTGGGTGCATTCTGGGTACATCTTTCAGATAGTTCTTCTAGTTCACAAATTCCCTCTTCAGCAATGTCTATTTATCATGTATCTATTAACATCTTGATTTTACTCATTACATTTTTCATTTCTAGATGTTTCTTTTCCCCAGGGCTTGGGTGTTTGATAATCTTTGTTTATAAGGTCATGCATCATTTTAAAGTATATGAGTCCTACAGGTCTACCTTGGGAAAATATCTCTCCAAAGTTCTGCCTTTATCCACAAAATGCTCCCTAGAATCCAACTTCGGGGCAAACTGTCTTAGTAACTCCAGTGATCTGCTTACAGATTCTTTGTACAAACACACTTCCATCACCTGAGAATGACAATTCTATTTCTTCCTTCTGATCCTTAGCCCTCTGTTTCTTCTCACACCTTCACAAACAGAAGTTGTAACATTGGGCTTCCTTATCTTCTTTTTTCTTTTTTAATCTCAAGGGATAGCTTTTCATGTTTCACTGTAACTATGGCATTTATTGTATTTTATGGGTACCTTTTATTATGTTAAGGATATGCCTATCTAGGCCTACGTATGAGTTTTTATTAGGATGGACGTCCATCTTTAGCAAATGCTTTACTCTGCCTGAGATACATACACACACGCACACATACATAAATTATATAATAAACATAACTTCCAGAGTCATTTAGAATTCTATATTTCATTTATTTTTATCTTTTATTTATTTATTTTATTTTTTTCATCTTTTATTTTTTTTAAGGAGGCTCTGTGCTAGGCGTGGAGCCCAATGCGGGGCTTGAACTCCTGACCTCGAGATCAAGACCTTAGTTGAGATCAAGAGTCGGACACTTAACCGACTGAGTCACCCAGATGCCCCTACAATATTTCAGATATGAGTTAATGACTTTTTGCACTGCAAACTACCTGCTCCTTTTGTGTGTGTATGTGTGTATTATCTGAAACAAACAGGTTAAAGAAGGAACAAGAAACTTTAAAATGAAATTTGCTTGCCATAATTCACAAAGTAGATAAAATACTATTGAACACAGTACTAATGAAATCTGCTTAGCAGGAAAACTGAGCGAATCTCTAAGATGTTACTTTTCTCCCTAAAAGCAAGCATGCCATATCAGTGTGTTCCAATGTCAGCACACATGAGGATGACCAGGGACGCTTGTGACAACACAGATGTTGGGTCCCTCCCAAGAGTGATTCGGCAGGTCTGGGGAGGGGCCTGCTCCCTGATGCTGCTGGTCCGGAGTCACCATCCTCAACCAGTCTTCACACAGAGGGGTGGGGAGAGGTGACCGGGTGTGAGGGTGAGTGAGGAGGCCCGTGTGTGTGCTAGGACTGTGGGGGGACGTGTGTGACAGGCCCCTCGGCTAGCTGACAGAACTTGTGTCCATGACAGCAGCAATGCCAGGGGAGGGTCGGGAGGGTCAGGAGGGTCATGTCTGGAAGCCGTGAAACCATCATTTCAGACACAAAGCCATAACATTTACCTTTTGAAATACTCCACTTCCCTCTCTGTCTCATCCATATCCACGCTGTCTAGGTCGATATCTTTAGGCAGAAAGACATCATCTGTAAAATGAAAGAAAAGAGGCAAGTCAGATTACAAGAGAACAGATTACCTGGCTTTACTTAATTTTAATAACTTCACAAACTGAAAATTTTCTCTAAAATGAGACTTTACAAACAGCCAAAGGAGGGCAGATGTCTCTCATATGCTTGTGAACTTCCATGTTCAACCTGGAAATTACGGAACTCACAAGTTTGCTGAGCGAAGCAACTGTGGCTTCAGGTCCCACTAGAAGAGATCCATTTGCTGGCACCCAGATTCCTCAAGTGACTGGTCTTTACTTGACACATTTCCGTGATGGGAGGGCCCTTGAGAAGACTCCCTGAAACCTAAGGTGCTTGCAAGCCCAGAGTCTGTCCTAAGTCCCTACAGGAGGGCAGGAAGGAGTGGGGGCATGCTAGTGAACAGAAGCCCAGAAGGCAGCCCCATAGGGAGGCGAATGCTGTCCCTTGCAAGTGCCCCTCACAGCAACAGGACACGACTGACTGTACCGGGGACACCGACATCAACCTCTATTGGAAGATGGCTCTCCCAGGCATTCAGTTATACGTGCAGCATCCCAGAGACATCATCAAACACTTTTCAGGCCGTTCCAATAAAAAAGCAAGGCTGTATTTCACTTTGCAGTTAAATCACCTTCTTTGAAAACAGGCAGGATGGCAGGGAGACTAATGATTCAGAATTATTCCAAATCCTTGAATCTCAGCAAGTTTGAGGGGTTCAACTTCGTGCTTCTTCTCTGCCCACCCTGTCTGTTACCATCTGTGGGATCCTGGGTACTGCCTGAGCCCTGGGCACCAGAGGCTACGTCAGCGCACAAGAGAGCTGGTGGTGCACACGCAACACCTGGCCCCATCCTCAAAGGAAGGTACAGAGTCCCCACTTCCCTGCAGTCTTTAGCATGGGATAATTTTTTGTCTTCTGTAGAAAACAAAGACACACCTTTGTTCCTTTCACTGGGGCACTCTGACAGCAGCATAAGCTGGAATGGCAGCTAACGTTTTGCTGACTTAGACCACCAGGCAGAGTGCCTTCACATCTGTGAGCTCACAGAAACGTCTGCAAAGAGCTTCCCCGTAGGGACCTGCATGACCACAGCCCCTCCCAGCCACCCACTGCTGGCACCCAGAGCTCCCTGCGCCCAGCTTCCCTCTGCACTACCCCCGCCCCCACCAACCCCTCCTTCCATGGGGATAGGACACCACCAAACCTCCCCCACTGCCCCAGACTGCTTTCGTGAGTTGCACGTCCCTGCAGCTGGCTCCCTTACAGGCGCCCTCAGGCACCTGCCCCCCAGTATGGCGTGCTGTGAGCCTGCTCCATTTCTGACGGGGACCCTCAGCCCCGTCTCACTCTCACGTCAGGGCTTCTACCGGCCCAGCAAATTCTCTGTGAACAGTCGAGGACCGCCCCCACCCAATCTCTACCCACTGCTGCTGCCTCAGAGCTGGCCTTCACCAGCTTCCCAGCCGGGCCCCACCCTGCCCAACCCAGCCAGTGCAGACTCATCCTCACAACACACACAGCTCACAGCTGCCCTGTGTCCACGGCCCAATCCATTCCTCCCTGGCCACACCAAGACTATTCCGACTGGGCCTTCATCTACATGTCCACCTGCAGACCTCGCCTGCCTGCCAACTAGACCTGCTGAGGCCCGGTTCAAAGAAATCCTGGTGTATGGGGAAGGGCGACATGGGGCAGGAGTGTTCAGAGATGTAATGAAAGTGAAGTCTAGGAGAGCGAGTCTCTGATCAACAGTCCTTCCATTAACAGTTCTGGAAGAGGAACAATGACAAAAGTGAATAGAGCAGGTATATCTGCTGGAAAAGCTGTCTTTGAAAGCAATGTCTAATCTTCTTTTCTTCTGATCAGAATTAATAATCACTAGTGAACATCTTGGCATAAGAAAAAAAAGTGACAAAACCATAACCAGATTCAGTACCAGGAAAATATTTTTCACAACAGCAAAGCTACATTAATCAGAGTGGAAAGTGTGACCCAGCCAGGCTAGGCTTCTGTACATTATTAAGACTGTAGGAAACATTTTGCTTTGCCAGAGCTCAGAGAATTCTATGCCCCTGACCCCCACTCGAGGAAGCGCGCCTAACGGTGAGCATCATCCAACCGGAGGAGGACAGGGAACACTTCACAGGGGGACCAACACCAGCATGGGATGTAGTCAGATGGAGACCTATAAACGCCCTGTGTCTGACATAGCAGAAATAATGCAGCTGGGAAATGGAAGAAAAGGGACTGCAAAAGGTGGGGAGTGAAAAGGATGGAAGCAGCTCACGGACTGTTGTCCAGGCAGTAAGTGGTGTCAGAGAAGCTGCCTTGAAGCCAGCTGTGGAAGGTAAGCGAGGAAACCAACGACGGGGCCCAACAGTGCAAGTGTGGAGGAGTGCACTCAGGCAAGATCGCCAACTTTCTTAAACATCAATGATTGTCAAAAATAAAAGCTAAGAAAAGAAAATCATATAGAAAAAAAAAAAACAGCAAATATAAAATATACAGACTAATTATAAAATGTCGTCGGAGCTGAGACAAAGCACATAGTAATAATATATGAGAATGGGGCTTAAATTACCTCCAGATAAGATTTTCCATTTGGCTCACAAAGCAAGATTCAAGATTTGTGCTGTCTGAAATCAGAGAAGGAGCTACCACTGAGGGCCTCAGGGATGAGAACAGAAGTGTCCCGCCAGGCGAATGGAGACACAAAGAGCCGGGGGGGGGGGGGGGCAGCGATCACCACCTTTAGACAAAGTAGAATTCAAGGCAAAAGCACAATGAAAGGACATTTTTTAGTACTAAAACCCAGAATTCACTGAAAAGATATTAGTTAGCAATGTGCACCAAATACAAACACCACTTTATAAAGCAAAATTGCAAGAAAGACAAGAAAACCTAGAAACTCATTAATAATAAATAACAGGAGACAGGGGCACCTGGGTGGCTCATTGGTTAAGCGTCTGCCTTCGGCTCAGGTCACGATCCCAGGGTCCTGCGATCGAGCCCCGCATCTGGCTCCCTGCTCCGCGGGGAGCCTGCTTCTCCCTCTCCCACTCCCCCTGCTTGTGTTCCCTCTCTCGCTGTGTCTCTCTCTGTCAAAGAAATAAAATCTTTAAAATATAAATAAATAAATAAATAACAGAAGACAGGTCAAGAGGACAAAAAACCAGGAAGGAAACAGAAGACCTAACCCTAAATATTATTGATCGATACATCAAGCAGATATATACATTCAATTTTCACCATGACAACAGAAAAAAATACATTTTTATCTCAAGTGTATACAGAGCAGTTACAAAAGCTGGTCACAAGGAAAATATCAGGAAATTCCATAAAGCAGAAATATTATGAATAATGGTCTCTGATCGCAATGCAGAAAACCTAGAACTTATTAACATAAAAAAGGCTTTCCCAGGGGAACCTGGGTGGCTCAATCCGTGAGGCGTCTGTGCTTGGCTCAGGTCATGATCCCAGGATTCTGGGATCGAGCCCAGTATTAGGTTCCCTGCTCAACAGGTAATCTGCTTCTCCTTCTCTCTCAGCCACCCACCCCCCACTTGTTTACTCTCTCTCAAATAAATAAAATCTTAAAAAAAAAGAAAAAAAAGACTCTTCCACCAGGAAACCTAAAAGCCACCTATTAAACTACTGGGCAAAGGAGGGGACAAAAACAAAGAAATTCCTGAATTTCTTAAAACAAAATGCCAATGGAAACATTATCAGACTATGAAATATATTTAAAGGAATGATCAGAGGAAAATTTGAAGTGCTAAATAGTTTGATCAATAAAAAATTGTGGAATGAAAACAAATGAGCTTAATTCCCAAATCAAAAAGTTAGAAAGTAAACAACAAAGTAAAAGCATGCATGGGAAGAAAATAAAGATAAAAGCAGAAATTGATGAGATATTAGAAAGAACAGTAAACCTAGCTAATGAACAGCCTGTTTTTTTAAAAAAAAAAGTGAATAAAATACACAAACTTTTTTTTTTTTTAAAGTGGGCTCCACACCCAACGTGGGGCTTGAACTCACAACCCCGAGATCAAGGGTCACAGGCCCCACTCACTGTTCCACTCGGGCATTCTCAAAATAAACGACAAGCTATTAATTAGCTGAATGAAACAGAATGGGGAGAAAACACAAATACACAAAATAAGAAATGGTGAGGAGGCAGAGCAAGACGGCAGAGGAGTAGGAGACCTGGATTTCGTCTGGTCTCAGGAATTCAGCTGAATAGGGATCAAACCATTCTGAACACCTGCGAACTCAACAGGAGATGGAAGAAAAGAATGGCAACTCTCTGAACAGAAAAGCGACCACTTTCTGGAAGGTAGGACGTGCGGAGAAGTGAATCCGAGGCGATATTCGGGAGGATAGATGGCAGGGGAGGGGGCCTCCATCGGCCGCTTCTGGCAAGTGCTAGAGCCACGGAGCACAAAATTGGAACTTTTAGAAGCCGGCTCCGCGGAGGGACGTCGCTCCAGTGGCTAAGCGGGGGGTGGAACCCTCGCGGGACAGTGTGGTCTCAGGACCCTCGGGGTCACAGAAAGACCGGGGGTGCCTGAGTGTGGCAGAGCTCCTGGGTATCGGAGCGGGGAGGCCGGCTGCAGAGATGGAGCCGAGGCTCGGGGTCTCAGCTCGGGGTGGCCATAAACTGTGATCCGCGGCCCAGTCGGGCCACTGCTCCTCCAGCAGGGACCCAACAAGCGGCAGAGCCGGGGAGACTCCCCTTCCTCCCCGGGAGGAGCAGCACGGGAGCGCACCGCGGGGATCTGCTGGGTTTGGAGACTCCACATGGGGTCGGGTGCCAGAGATACAAATGCTCAGTCACAGGCCGGGTGAGCACGGAGTGCGGCCGGAGACCAGAGAGACGGAAGTGACTGCTTTTCTCTGGGGGCGCACTGAGGAGCGGGGCCCCGAGTTCTCAGCTCCTCCGGGCCGATTGGGAGGCCACCATTTTCGCCCCGGTCCCCCAGAGCTGTACCGAGAG